GGTCCAGGCTTAGTATTTCAGATGTTGTGCTGCCCGATCTGTTGGGCCCCCAGTCTAGTTAGCTAGTATGTTTAGTGGCTAACTCGATCGAATTCAGTATCGAGTGCCAGTCGTGCCTCCCCTAGTTTGGGGCGTGACAGCTTATACCGTCGGCATTATAAAATACTCCTTCCGTTTTAATTTACGTGAACCTATTTTCTTTTTGGGCCGTTTCAAAAAGAATGATCCCTTTCTAAATTTGGAAACTATTTAGCTTAAACTTATAATTCTACCCTTAATGAGAAGCTTTTATAACCACACAAATAGTTTGGCCCCCTTTTAACTTATTTAGGACTACAAATTTCAAAAATCTTTTTTTTTAAAAAATTCCGTGCAGTCAAACAGATTCACGTTAATTGAAACAAAGGAGTTTAAAACTAGTGGCACTCTCATTCCTGAAATGATGTATATTAAGAGTAGATGGCAAATATGGTTAAGTCTATACAATTACAAGAGAACTACAGTATCACATTTTCGTTTGTAACTTGACGCATATTAAATCCAATCTAGATGTAGGAAGTTTCATTAAGGTAACTGTTTACCGAAAAAATCGGATAACGTTAGATTTGTGGATGGTTCTAAGGATATGCGATACAATTTGATATAAATTGCGTAGAGAAATAGAAATATGTGTATTGTTGACTGTAAGAACGAAAATAATAAGCAAAAAGAATGAATAAGTAAAACAAGCACAAGGGGATTACTATCAATATCTAGAGGAAGTGATCTTTTTTATGTTCAACCCCCCCTAGCTTACAAGGATTCCCCCTTTTATAGAAGAGGGTCATTACCAAAAAACAATAAAATAAAACATGTAGTGGAAGACCCATAATGACTTGTCTCTTCCTTGATTCCCGCCAAGATTTTCTTTCTTGGTGTGGTTGCAACTGCTCTTGTCTGTAAGCTCGATACTAGCTCGAACGCGTTACTGGGTCGGGCCCTTCGGTCTTGGATCGAGTTCGACCTTCGAGATGGGCGTCGCGCATTTCCGACCTCGAAGTAGTGCCTTGCGGATCGATTCGGTCACGGGCTCGATAGGATTATCGAGCCGCCTCCTCGAGTGATCTTCGGGCTCGAGGTTCGTTAGTACCGACCTCAGAGCTCACTCCCAAAATCTCATTCCAACTTCTTAACACTCGAACTCGATTGAACGTAGGAAGGCCAAAATCTATTTCGACCGTATATAGATAGTCCCATCGTTTCTCGGAAAAGGATGTGGCGAGAAACGATATGATTTTCCAGCAGCTCGATTAGATATACACTGATGTTTTTATCTGATGATTTCCCAGCAGCTCGATCAGATATACACTGATGTTTTTATCGATCCCGACCATGACGTATGTAATGCTCGATCATCTTATGCGTCTTTATAGTCCCCGACTTTATCGAGGATACCCGAATTTTTTCTTCCCCGGTGGGAATTGCCAGTTACCTTCGGTCTTTGGTGACCGGAGAAGATCAATCAGTGATGAATGTGGAGGGGCTTCCTGTCTTTTCAACGAGGCCCAACATGCTTTGAATCGGATAACTTCTGATGGCGTTTTCGCCGCTTCTGTACAAAAATTTTGTAAATACAAATCTTTCTTCTTCTTTTTTGAAGAGAAATGGCCTTTCAAACTAAATAGACAGTTTGAATTTAAATCTCTGTTGCCTTCGGGCCTCGTGGGTAGTCCCCTTTGCTTTATCGGGCTCGAGCGTCCTTCACCTTAAATAGTCAAGTGTTTGTTTTAATTCGAAGAAATGAGTGGTTTTGCTCGAAATAATGTAGCCCGTAGGCATAATAGTTGAGCGAGTGATGGCTCGAACTCAAAATGAAGGTAGCCTGTAGGCTTAGCAGTCGAGTGAATGATTCGAACTTGATGCAATGTAGCCCGCATGCGTAATAGTCAAAGTAGCCCGTAGGCTTAATGGTCGAGTGAGTGATCGCTCGAACTCGAAATAAAGGTAGCCTGTAGGCTTGGCAGTCGAGCAAATGATTCGAACTCGATG